GACCGCATATCAAACCCCAAAACCAAAAAAAAAAAAAAAAAAAAGAGTATCCCAGAAGATAAAAGTAAAGAATAAGCTATAAGTATAAATCTCAAATACCTTCTTTATAGAAAGAGCTACCAAAAGTCACAAAGATTGCCCACATTCACTGCTGCCTCCCCAGGGTCAGTGCTACAGGTCAGCAGCCGCAGCACTCCCTGAGAAAAGGGTGCCACCAATGCCATCATGGTGACTCAGGAGGGTCCACGACACTGGGGCGTGCTGACAGATACATCTTGACACCCCACGAAAGCACCGGGAGGTTCCGGCCACAGTGAGGCTCGGGGGCTCAGGGCAGACTGGCTGTAGGACAGGGTTCCAGGGCTCGGGCACTGTTTCTCTGTGGACCCATGTCAGCACACAGTGGACAGCGGGGGGAATGGGTTCTGCTTGCTGACAACCAGCTTTTGGTGCTGATGGGATATATAGCCCTTGATGTGGCCCTGGGGAGAGAAGGAGATTAGTACACGCTGCCCAATGAGCTCACCCCGCTCCCCGCGAGCCCTCAGATGGCATTCCCTGGTAAAGTCAGCTCTGTCAGAAACAACTTCCCACAGCCAAAGGCCCTAGCAGGGTGTACTCACCATGTAGATCAGGTTTGCCAGGATGCACTGCACTTCGTCCAGGTCCACGTCCTCTACATGCATGAACTTCAGGGCGACCAGGAAGGCGTCCAGGGACAGCTGGTGGGTTCTCAGTAGCAAGTACCTGGGAGAAGGGGAAAGGCCCCCCGAGTCACCCTAAGGAACATGGCATGAGTCACATCAAGTGCATGGCGACACCACAGTGGACTGGCAGCCGAGGCAAGGAGTTTTCAAGAACTCTGAGAGCAACACCCAGGCTGCTGATTGGCTACGTCCAAGAACAAATGACCAACTACCACAGCAGGAGTGACAGATAAGATGGCTGGGAATTGCCACAAAACCACACATGAAGAGGAACAGAAGAGCAGCTGACCAGATGTCATCATCTCCAATGAGTGGCTGAGCTTTGCTCAAGAGCCACACACTGTAGGTTCAAGAGACAGAGACCACAGGACCCTGCTGGAAAACGGCACACCTTCCCACCTGAACCTGAACTTGCATTCAGCGAGTGACTCGGACTCGATGAGGCCTCCTATCTGCATGAGCGACCAGGGTCAGGACCTTGCCGCTGTCTGTGTCTTGTAGAGCTCGGTGTGCTATGAGTCAAAGTATCCTCCAGAGACAAGTCTCTGCCTCCTGACCTGTTCTCATCCCGTGCTCTGTGGTAAGGTGCTTTAGGCAGACAAGCCTGGAGGCTACCACCACGAGGGGCCCACAGCAAGTCAGGGGAAGCCACAGCTTACAACTCCCACTGGTTACATATATGCTGCAGAGATCAGAGCTACTAAAGAGAATTTTGGCTATTTTAAAAACCTGGTAGGATAAGCAGCTTTTACATTTACCGAGTACGTCAATGAGTCCAAGATGCCTATCTCTTCACAAGTAACTAGCTCTGAAATGAGGATGCACCTTCCAGAAGCGCCCTGGGATTCAACTGCTGCTCACTACTTTTGACAGATGATCCACACTACACAGAAGGCCTGCCTCCACAGGAGCTCAGTTCCCAGGGCCTGCTGGGATGCGTCTGCATAGCTTGGACAAAGGGAGGGCAAGGCGCATCACCATGGGGGCCCCCGGCCGCTCACACTTTCTTGAAGAGGTTCCTGTAGGTGATGATCTTGAGCTTCTCCAGAATGAGGAAGATGCCGCAGCGGATGAAGAAGGTCTCATGCCTGGCCAGTGCCTCATGCAGCAGCAGCAGGTTGCCCTCGCTGGGCACAGGAGAGGAAACAGGAGCGTGTGTGAGCACCGCCCCTCATGCCCTGCAGCCTCCACTGCCTCCTGGGGAACAGAGCGACACCCACCTCACGGCTTTGGTCACCTCAGCAAACTGCATGAGGTGGTACTTTCTCAGCAGCTCCACGGTTGGCATGTGGCCCTGCAGAGACAAGGGGGCTCCCCAGAGTGGGTATGATCTTACCAGGGAGTAGAATCTCAGAAGCGGCAGAGGATGCCAGGGAAAAGTACCAGTGCTGCCCCAGAGATTGGAAAACCAGCACCAAGGGGTTTTGTCATTCAGTGGCTGGGCCCTTGATCTGGACATTCTCACGCTGGTCAGATGTGAAGGGACAGGTGTGAGAAACAGAGCATCACACGTACAGGACTTGCGGGTAAGAAACCTCTCCCAGAAGAACCAGGGAGAACGCAAACCCAGGGCAGGTGGCCAGCACCGCTCTCCAGGCATCCTGGGCCAGGCTGCTCTCTGCTGCACATGGGTATGATTCCATTTCCGGGGACTACAGGAGACATCTATACACAGGCTGTGAGGAGTTTCCTTTCTTGGCTAACCTAGCGCTATGGATTTAGTCTTTTCAGGAGAAATGCATGCAGCATGAATGTTCAGCTTCAGAAAATTACTTTCAAGAGAACCAACGCATGCACTGCTTTTCTGGAAGGGCCAAGGGCCAGGGGAGTGCAGGGGAGGCCACACACCCGCTCCCCATTCCACTCGCACACGGGCTGCGCAGTCTCAAGCCTGGCCGCCCGCCACTCACCAGCAGCATCTTCACAGGCAGCAGGTATATGAGGATCATCCTCTTGTTCTTCTGGCTGGAGCGGTGGCAGTGCTCAAAGGCGAAGGACAGGTACTCCTCGGCTGTGGGCAGACACGTGTCAGCCAGCACAGGTGGTCCAGCACCGCCCTCGCGCCCGTCCTGCCCACTTACACGGGCTTCCACTCACTCACTCAGACTTGAGCTGGGCAGACCTCAAACACAAAGCTGACTGTATTCACCCAGGCTGACTCTAAAGACTGCGGAGCACAGACCTGCAAGGCTCGCATGCCCACCGGCCCCAAGGGTGACCTGTCTCCCACCCAAGTCCCCAGGTGGCAAGCGCAGCCTCTGCAATGTCAACTGCTGTCCCAAGGGTTTGGGAAGCATACCGAATCTTCCATTTTGTTTGGAAACAAATATATAGAGGGGCACAAATGAACGAAAATGTGCTACAAAGAGCGGAGATGCCCAGATATTCTCTTCTTTACATATGGAAAGAGCTGAAACCATGCCACTCTTCACCGCATTTCACCCACCTAGAAGTATTCCAGGACTGCAGGAATTCCCCGCGGCAGCTAGGAAATCCAAGTCCCCAGGCTGCCAGGCAGAGGACCCCAAGACCAGAGCCACTGTGCCAGCATGAGTCAGGCGGGCACAGTGGCATCTTTTACAACAAAATCAGAGTGGGGCGGGCAGACCAGGAGGTGCCTTTGGCTCTGAAGGTCAGAACTCTGACTCGAGGGCACCAACACCAGCGCACCGTGTCTAGCTGTGCCAGTTCTTCACACACACCACTTGGCTGCTGAGGAAAGGCACAGAGACACGTTGGTGGACTCCAGTGGGATTTAATTTAAAGGCATCTTCCTGTGCCTTCTATGCAGAGTGAAAAGGAGAGGGGGAAGAACCAAGGAAGGCCTCACCTGAAAAGTCAGTTTGTGGAAGCCCAGGAGTAAAACCCTGGCCAGCAAGTGTTTCCTCCCACAGAGAGCCCCACCCTCAGCAGAAGTGGGCAGCTGCACCCTGCAGGGTCTCTCTGCTGCTGGCTCTGCACACCCACAGGCTTTGGCACATGAGAAGCTGAGGTGGTCAGCCCGAGAGCCTGGCCCAAGTGCCCGAACAAACAGCCCCTACTGCCAACCAAACGGAGACAAAGACAAGACACGCTCTGTGGGCGGACAGAGAGCTGCCAGCACACACTGAGGCAACCGTGTGGCCATGACACCACCACGGTGGCTCCTTGGAAAGCCAACACCACCAGCCAGGACCCAGGACACTCCCTGCTGCCCTCTGAGTCCTTCCACCAGGATTTTAGGGAGCCTGAAGTAAAGAGACGGTTACTCTACTCAGAAACAAGCACCACAAACCGGGCGTGCTGACACACACCCGCAATCCCAGCACCTGAGGAGGCTGAGGCAAGAGCACACAAGTATAATCCCCACTTGGGCAACTCAGAAACTTCATGAAACCCATCACGAAATGAAAAGTAGAAAAGGGCTGAGGATACAACTCAGTGCAAAGGCCCCTCATTCGTTTCCCAATACTGCGAAAAGATAAAGAGAAAGATAAGAAAGACCTCTGCCATCACCCCAAGACGGGTCTGCGTCCTGGGGACTTGCATGGATTATGAACCTTCCAACACAGCTTCCTTTCATCAGCTCTGGTGCCTCAGTCCACACACATGCACCACCTTCACTGAGGACGAAACAGTGCTGTTCTCAGACAATGCCCAGCTCTGCTGAGACTGACAACACACCTTGCTTAAAGTCACTATCAAACATAGCCTTGCGCCCAACATAGTACTTGTATGTGACCCTCTGCGCAGTGCTGTAGTCTTCCTTCAGGTTCGAGCTGTCAATGGCGCGGATGAGGGGCTTACATAAGTGCAACTTGTTGATCTGAGGTACACACCAGGTCCACGGGCAGAGGAAAGACAAACAGAAATGATAGCTTTACCAAAAGCGTGCCTGTCAGCCCATAAAATTTAACAACAGACTAAAGCCATGGGCGGCTGGTAGTCACAATGGTGAGCACAGGCCAAGTAACCCAAGTGCAAGGACAGGCCCTGTCCTGACATGGGACCTTGTGCCACAAAAACGAACTCTGTGCACCCAGCCACCTCTAAACTGGCACTTTCAGAGCCGCCACCAGCCAGGACAAAAGGCTCTGAGAGAGCTGCTTGTAGTCGGGGAGACTGGTCACTTCAGCAGAGGCCCCTGTGCTGACCCCCAGATGACAGAGCAGTGGCGCAGGTGGGAGATGCTCCTAGGCAACCATGAGCTCTGAGGATGACAACGGCAGCTGTGCTCACTCCCCAAGCTGCACCAGGACAGCCAGCTGGTCGGAACAGAAAAAGCAAGATAGAGAACTGGAACATTACCTTAAAGTAGATCTTGAACAACTGATTCACAAGAAACAGCATGCCCCACTTCTTCGAGTCCTCGATGCCAGCGCGACTGTGGGAAAATGGTTTCTGAAGTTATGGAGGAAATGAACACTTCCCTAGGTCACAAAATCAACTGCCTAACAATTACTATCTAAAAATGAAGTGCCACAGCTCTGGTCATATTCACCAAATACAATACTGTTACAAAAAAAGGTATTTTATCAAATAGGTAAATTTTAAAAATACAAAAGATCACCACAGAAAGAGAAACCCAGCTGAGTATCTGGAGGCTCCGTCGGTGGCACCAGCTGGACACAGCCTGCTCTGCAAAGGGCCAGTGTAGAGACGGGGATGGTCACGACACAGTTCCTCCCATCCTGAGAGTGGGCTTGTGAACAACCCGAGGAGGACAATGTGGGAGATGTGGGCAGAACACACATGCACACTGGCAGGGTCAGGGCCGTGGAGCCACAGAGGACACTTGTGCGGAGGGCGATGGCCAGGTCTGGCCTGCGAGGGGCAACACGAGGCTGTGCCTGAAGGGGGCCAGGAGGCTGCACAGGGAGTGTACTGGTCAGAACTCCGCAAACACAAAGTTACGGCCTATACAGCTGGAGGAAAATGAACAATGATATCTGCAGTTGACTCTGAAATACATTTTCAAAGAGAAGCAAAAGAGAAATTGAGATGCAAAGAGGGATGGACAGGTGGGAGACGGCAGAAGATCTGCACGAGTGCACACAGCAGTGTTCATAGGCGTGAAGTTCTCAGTTGCCACTGTGAGAGGCCTTTTCAATGTCACATTTTCCAGGATGACGCACTGAGGTGCGCGTGCTTCTTTCCCGCCTCTGTGGGACACAGCCAGTCCAAGCATGGGGTCTGGCAACACATGCCAAGTGTGCAGGCAACGCAGCTCTAGCACCTGGCAGCAACACTACTCCTCAGCTGCAAGCTTCACTCATCATACAGCTAAATCCAACTGTAAAATGCCCCGCCAGTCAGTTGCTGTGTTTATCTGCTCTGTTTATCACTGGCCAGTGCCAGGGCCTGAGCCTCGTTACCACGTGTGCAAGTGGAAACAAGAGCACTGTTCTACCTGCATCGAGGAGTCATGGGGAATCACACAGCAGGAAGTGCACAGGACAGATAGGACTTCATCTGAGTGGAAAAATGTTGCCCGGCATCTGTAGCCTGGCTGGCGCCAGGGACAGAAAATTCTCTTGGAGATCTGAGAGAGGTGAAGCCCTGGGGACAGATGTGTTCCTTGGGCTTCCCTTGGTCTTCCAGGTCAAGAACCAGAAGCGGCACTGCTGGGCCTCAAATGGCTCCAGGTCCAGCTCTCCGAGGACTCCACCCCGTCAGCAGGACACCAGGCTCCAGTTTCTCTCCTGCAGCCCTCGAGTCTCTGCCCATGGCCATCCCAAGGGTCAAGATGTGTGGCTTGCTGGTCCTGGCCTGCCTGGCACCAGGCACCTTTTCATGTGATTATGGACATCTGAGTGGCTTTAGATTTTTCAAGTCCTTACCTGTTTTTAAGTTGGTTTGTCTTTTTACTATTCAGTTGTAATAGTCCTTCTTATATCTCAGATACAAGACCATTATCAGACATATTATTTGCAAACATATTCTGCCCATTCTACAATTGTTTTTCACTTTCTGGTCGTGTCCTTTAAACACAGTATTTGGTCTTGATGAAGTCCAACTCAGCATCACTTCAGTCTTTTGGCTAAAGACCAAGTGTAGTCCAACTCAGCTACTGCTTCTCTTCAGTTCCTCTGCTTTTGGTGCCATCCTGGGAAAGCACTCCCTAGTCAAAGGGCACAGAGACCCCTGCTGTGTGGGAATCTTCAACTCCAGCTTCCAGCGCTTGCCTGAAACATTGATCAAGCTATTCTGCCATGAGGAAATCAAGGCCAGCAAAGACCTAGCCCTCACGCACTCTGCAATGGACGTACGTCAGATGAAGGCAGGGCACCGTGAAAGGTCATGGAGGAAAAGCCCGCCCACCGTGGGGTGGTGCTGGTCGGGAGGGCTGGAAACAGCCAAGACCCTCGTTTAAGGGGGGACAGCGGGGAAAGCTGAGGATGCCCAGCCAAAGGAAAGAGCTCTTGGAGAAGCTCAGTGGGAAGCCCCTCAGAATGGGAATGGATGTTCTCCAATCCACATGTGGCTGGAATGTTCTGAAGGGAGCTGTTATGGTTTGGGTCTAGATGTCCCCCCAAAGCCTCATGTGGTCACTTGATCTAAAGTGTGTGAAGGTGGAAATGAATCATAATGCCATAGGCTCAAGGGCACTGGGACTAAGCATGTGAGTGCCACCCACTCTAAGTAGTCTGAGTAAGATAAAAGGGGCAGGGAGATGCTGCTAACTCTCTTGTTGCCACTGCTGCCTTCTGTGTGCCATGTTGTTTCTCCTCTGTGATACCTGTTTGCTATCCCTGCTTGGATCCAGCTCATTACAGACTGAAACCTCTACAAACCATAAGCCAAATAAATCCCTTCCCTTTCAACTTTTGGTGTTGGGTATTTTATCTCAGCAGTGACAGAAAAGTAACACAGGAGCTGAGTAGGGAAGAAAAGGGAGAGAAAGAGGCAGAGTTGGAAGAGTTTCTGAGAATCACAGGTTTCTGCTTTAGATGTTTAGCATTTCTGAGCAGGCCTGCGGCATGTCTCTGCATCTGAGCTACCTAGGAGGATCACAGATCAATTTGATGCCAGCCCAGGAAACCTAGACTGCATTACAAAACAATCCCAGGAAAAATAAAACTACACACACACACTTTCCTAAATCTCATAATCAAATAAATGTGATTGTAGAATGGGTGGTGACGTAAATTCTAAAGTAGAATCAGACAAAATCTAGAACTGCAAAATAAATAATGGCAGCTAAAATCAGCCACCTTACAAGTACATCAATACAAATTATCCAAAATGAAGAGAAAGATTAAAAAAAAAGGATGTAAAGACTTTAACATTTAAAATACAATACAATACCATCAACTTACAAATCTAAGAAGCTCCATGACCCTAAAGAGGAGAAAGAAAAAAATCAAGCAGGGAGAGCAGAGTCAAGCTACTGAAAGCTGAAGACACAGCAAAGCTAGCCTGAGGACAAGCCCACTCTGGGCCAGGGAGCCGGATAGGCCTGACCTGTCAGCATCAAAGCAATCACTCAGAAGCATGTAGGCAAAGGGCTGAACGGGAAACAGTCATTATCCAGCAGCCTTTTTCAAAGATGGACCATGAGAACATCAGAGCCAGGAAGGCTCGGTGGGCTAGAGACGTGCGGCACACACTGCAGAGGATGGCAACGAGGGGCCCAGAGCCACACGTCACACCTACACCTAACTGCCAGAGGCAGGGAGCATGTTACAAGACAACTGTCTTCTTCAATAAAAAGCAATGCTGGTGTATGTACACCGAAGAGACGTCAGCAATGGGCCAAAGACAGAGGGCCGACCTGACGGCAGGCGGGGTACACAAACCATACTCACGTATCGCTGGCGCAGACCCGGAAGCAGCTCATTAGCAACTCGGCGGCTTTCTCCAACATATCCCCCACTTTGCTTTTTCCTTTCTTTACCAATTGCTGATCAGCCTAACAGAACATAAAGACATTTACTTTTTAAAGCAAAAATGGGTAAAACTGGGGACTGGGAATTTAGCTCAGCGGTTCTGCTACCTGCCTCAAAAGCTCAAGGTCTCGAGTTCAATCCATGGTATCAATTTTTTTAAAAAAGGGGCAAAACTAAGCATTGGAGTCCCAAAAGCTGTTGGAGACATCAGCTAGTAAAGAAATACTCCTTAACCCTTGAGCAGCGCACTCTTCCCAACTTGTCCACAGCTATGGCGCACTGCACCACTGGGTGGCTTCCTCACCTTGTCTCTCGCTTCCTCCTACAGTGTCAGTCAGAACCCTTGAAACAAAACCTGGGATTTACCAGTCATTACTAAGCATGACTATTCTGTTTTGCAGATCACCTTGGTTTAAGAACAAAATTGTCATCTCTGAGCCCTGCCCTTGCCACAGCCTATGTGGTAACATCCACTTTCATGACAACCTTGGACTGTCTCCTGTCCTGATGTCTGTGCCCACAAGGCAGGTTAGGTGTGGAGCCCTTAGGCTGAGCCCCATCTCACTGCCCTCAGCACAGACACCTGTGCTCTCCAGCCCATGAGAAATTGAGGCTCACGGTATTTTGTGATAGCAGCCTGCAGAGGGAAAGATGATTATGGTGATGACACCATAATACCCTGCACAGGTAAAAGATCCACGCAACGTGGATACACCCACAGATTTTAATGCCAAAATGTTCACTGCTATGCTTTGGAAGCCACACTATGACTTTTATAACCTGCCTCCTGGAGTTTTTATATAGTTTCCAAAAAGAATCACCTACAGTGATCTGCAAAGGGTACCAAAACACCCCTTCCCTAAAAGACTGACTCTGGTCCACAAATGTCTTCAACACTTCCAAGAGAACATCCTCTTGAGCAGAGTCTGTGCAGAAGCCGAAGACTCCAGATGGTCTCTGTGACAGCTAAGCATCAAGAACTCCAGATACCCAAGGCCCTCTTCCTACCATCCTTCTGCCTCTCTTGGAAATATAGTTAGCTTTACTTTAAAAGTCAGTGACATTATCACGTAAAAGCTTTATTATGGTTATTTTAAATATTTAAGTTTTCCCAGTGAAAGTGTCAAATATGTAAATATAAATGGCTATGTCAGAAATAAAAGTTCTCTAGGGTCTTCAGTTAATACATTTTCAGTGTAAAATTTCCATCTAGTTCTTTTTTATACCTATTTCCTCCCTGAGATTGACGTGTTTTAAGCATGTTCATATTGCTCACTGAATCATTTTTATAATGGTTACTTTAAAAAAATTTTTTTTATGTGGTACTAGGGATCAAACCAAAGGGTGCTCTATCACTGCACTGTGTCTCCAGCTATAAGATCTCACTAAGTTGCCCAGACTGGCCTTGGACTTGCAGTTCTCTTGCCTCAGCTCCCTGACTGGCTGGGAGTACAGGTATGTGCCACCACACCTGGCCTGATGGTTGCTTTAAAATCCTCAGCAGATAATCCAATGGCTGTTGTCATCCCAGCACTAGAGTCTAGCCAACAACACTTGCATTCACAGCTCAGAAAGTTGAATTCCCCAGTTCTCAGTGTGCTCAGACTTTCCACTGCAGTACACACTCAACACTGAGGGTGTTATGCTGTACTCCCACTGCTGCCGCAGGTCTCTGCCAGCCCAGCTCTTGGAGAGTGGAGGCCCCCGCCTGCAGCCCCTTCCTTTGCCAACAGGGACTGTGGTGCAGTACCTGAGCAAGGGAGGCACTGTTAGGAGTGCTGTCCACCTCTCCTGGATTCCCTGGAGCTTTCTACTTTGGCCTGAAGGTATCTCCAGGTCTGGGTTTTTTCCAGCAGCCTGTCCCAAAGAGACAGTACAGGAATCCCACTGCACTCAGAGTCCCAGCACTTCTGCTCCCACCAAGTGGGCTTCAAGCCAAAGCATAGGAGCAAAGAGAGAATTCTGCCTCCTCCATCAGATCCAGATTCGGAAATCCACCATTATTTTTAGAGCTGTAAGGGATCCAAGAAAAAAAAGATGGAAACTGTGGCTCTGCACTGGTTTAGGATGAAATCAAGGGAAAGAAGCCTCCATGAAATCCATGGCCTTTTCCCTTCCTGCCACAGAAGAAGTTCCTGCTTCCTGAATCTACATCACATTCCAGTTCCTACGGAGGGACAGGCAACATCTGACCAGCAAGAGAGTGGTTACCCTTCACACGTGTGTGGGCCACAGGCGAACACCTGCCTCTACTGCCCCAGGGTGAAAATCCGAGCAAAGCTGCTGGCAGCAACCTCAAAGGAACAACTGTCCAAGCCACCTCCTGTTCTTGGGCTCCCATGCCTGATACATCCCAAGTCCCACTCATTCCTGGAAACTCTGGGGAAGAAAAGCATGAAATGAAGCAGCAGTCACGGAGCTTCAGTCTTAAAACACCACGCAAGGAGATCAGACTTACATTATTGGCGAACACTCGAAGGTCTAGGGCCACCGCATACATGACAGGGAGAGCCCTGTGGACAAGAGAACATGTATGATGAGCCATGCAAGTAGGGTGCCAGCACACTGCTGCCAGGTGTCTGCTCCTCACCCTCCTCCGGGCAGGCTACAGCCGGGTTCCCTGGCCAGTCTTGAGGCTGGACCCCACCTGCAGCCACACACACTACACCGACCCTGTGTGGACCCTGGGGGCTCCAGGAATACCGCCCTCCCTTCCGCACCTCACCACCCACAAACAGCCCTGTTTAGAGTCATGTGGTTATTGAATTTCCTAACAGGAATCAGGGTGTAACATGCATTGTGCCATAAGGCAGCCTTCTGTGCATCCAGGGGCAATGCTAGATCTCTGTGTGTAAGCTGAGTGCCCACTGGGCAAGGGAAAAGGGCTGGGCTCTGTGTAAAAGGCCCTTAGACATTTTAGTATAAACAAAAATTAAATGCTAACAGTTTGTTAGTAAATCATAAATCTTAAAAATAAAAAGTAGAAGCCGGGCATAGTGACACATGCCTATAATTGCAGCACTCAGGAGGCTGAGGCAGGAGGCTGAGGCAGGAGGATCGAGGTGAATTCAAGGCCGGCCTGTGCTATACAGTAAGTTAAGGCCAGCCTGGACTACATAATGAGACCCTGTCTCAAAAAACCATCCAACCAAACAAACAAACAAACCAGTAGTTTGTCAAGGAATTTTAAATAACCTATTACGCATATTAAATGAAATACAGTTAGCCTTCTTTATCCAAAGTTTAAAACAAAAAGTAAGATCAAAATTGATGACTGAAAGAAAAAATAGTTTTTAATCAGTACTGGGGGCATGAAAGTGCTGAAATAAAAATACTTCATACAGAAATACTGCAAATAACCTGGCTGATCTGCCACTTAAATTTACATGAGAAACTGTAATTGTTAGCCATGTTGGTATTATCATTCCAACATACTCTGATGTTAAGTATCCACAGACAATACATCTTTAAAACAAAATTTTATAAATCTGTTTTAAAAAACTGTCATTTGCTAATTTCCAGCTGCTTTCAGGACACTCACCAGTTTTCCTCTTTGTGAGCCTGAAATGCCCGCAGGAAGGACGTGCTGGGTTAAGGAAGGCAAGTCACAGTAGGGCCTAGATGGCAGAAGTGGAGTATGGGGTCCCACACCTGAGAGGTGTGCACGGCTCACCGAGAGCTTACGGGTCACCACAGCAGGTTTTCTTACACACAAGCAGCTGTGAGTCCCCACTACAAACATCTGGGCACCATTAAGTCTACGTACACTAAATACTGTACCTTCATTCATAGGTCATTTCCCCAAAGGAGACTTTCTTACCAGATATTTAAATTTGTTTGGGCTCTCTGAGCCCAGATGGTCATAACTGTATTTAAGTGCTTCAGAATCTATAGTTTATAAAGTTTATTTCATCGACTCTAGAATCCTTGGATTCCAAGGAGATTTGCCTAGAAACCTATTCTCTTCTGGGTATATTTCAACAAGATGGTCTTACAAAAGCAAACTAAGATCTGGAGAGGCATACAGACGCTTACAGCTCTGTGAAGCCTCACCAATGAGGGCCTGAGACCTCAACTGTCAGTTATCCATTGCAGCAGTAAGACATGGCTTCACGAAAGCTTCGGCGTCCCTGTGGAATGAGGACACACGCCTCCATCCACCTCATCCGTGATGCTTCACCCTAGGGACAAACCAGACCAGCAAACTAGACTTAATGCCCTAAAGGCAACTGAGTGTGATTCTCCTCCAAAGAATGAAATGGAAACCATCCTCTCAGCCAGTGGTCTTCCCTGCCAGATGCATCTTAAGATCCATGCAAACTCAGGTATTCAACAAAGCAGCTAACATGAGTCTCCCTTCCAGAATATTTCAGTTCTTCTAATTGCAGGTTTGAACAACAAGCCCAATGTTTCAAGGTCTTGAGCCCCAGGAGCTCAGTGTCCCTGTTACCCCCCGCATAGCTTCACATGTGACAAAGGATATTGGACTATCACTGTCTGGCACTTGTATGCCTCTATGAAGTCATGGTTCCCCACTGCATAGGTGCACCTGGAAAAGACGTCATCACCAGTGAGTAGGGTCAGAAAGAAAATCCAGATGGCAGCCATGTTGGTCACATAGCTCAGTTCTGCAGACACCCCAGTTCTCTCTGGGCCTGGAGGGAAAGCTGGGGCTCTGCTGGGGCAGGCAGCAAAAGGCACAGGGAAGAACACACATGACTACATGGGCCCACATAGCATGTTGCGATCCCTTTCAGGACCCAGAGGGCAGCTCACCCAGCAGGACTAAGCACCATGGACAGGTGGCACAGCACAGCCCTAATGCTGTGCTAAAGCCAGCCCAAGTCTCCTTAGCAGCCAGAACCAGTCAGTTCACCACCTAACCTGATCCCTACGAGTCTACACAGAGCTAAGTGAGCACAAGGTGCTCACACTCAAGGAACACAGGGCACCAGGTTTCCCAAAGACCTCACAGGCTTGTGGGGCTTCCCTGCCCACAACCATCCCAGCCCACATCCCGCCTGCTCTGCAACACAACAGGCACGCGGGAGGGCAGGGAGATCTCAGGGCTCCAGGACACAAAGAATGCCTGGGCTAATGCTCTAAGGGTAAAAACTGCAGATACAAGATGCAAGTGACAGGGCTGGGGATTGAGCTCAGAGGCACTACACCTACCTCACAAGTGCAAGGTTCTGAGTTCAATCCCCAGTACCAAACAAACAAACAAAAAAAAACCAAAGTGGAAGTGAAAGCAGTCATCACAGGCTGGGGACACAGTTCAGTGGTGGAGGAGTTGCTTAGCAGGTGCCAGACTATGGGTCAACCCCTCACACCAGGGGTTAAAACAAACAAAAAAACACAGCATTTTGTTGTTGCTATTTTGCTTTGCTTAACTCCAATTTCTTTCCCAGCAAGGCAAACAGGTTAAAAACATAGTTGGGTATGGTGACGCATGCCTGTGATCCCGGCTACTCAGCAGGCTGAGGCAGGAGGAACAAAGTTTGAGGTCAGCCAGGGCAAATTAGCAAAACTCTGGGTTAAAATTGAAAAGGGCTGGGGATGGAGCTCAGTGGAAGAGCACTTTCCTACCTGGGTTTGGGCCCCAGTAGAAACAAATACAGAAACAACAAATAAACCACAGTTCTGTGAAGGAGGCAAGTCCTCAGGTGGCACGACACTCATGATAAAGACCACGGTCCAGTCTGTGAGGTAAACGTGTCTCTACAGCAGGACAAAGCAGTAAGCTTTCTCTTCACCAAAGTCAAATTACAAATGCACTTTCCTACTTTTTCAGAGTCAGTGATTCACCATTTCCAACATAAGAAGCTAGAAGATGAAACTCCTACTCGGCTTGGTCATTTTCAGCTGTATTTTGTGCCTCGCCAGTGTATTACCTTAAGTGAGCTGCAAACATTTCATCATAAGGGGGTTCCAAAACTTGCTGACATTTCTCTTCTGGAGAAGCCATCTGATTAATAAGAAATATAGTGAAATTTAAAAAAAATGGGTACAGAAAGAATGCAATGTAGACAAAGAGACAAACATTAAAACTTCTGTTTAAAAGAAAACACAAAAAAACAACTTCAGTTTAGCTAAGCATAGTGGTGCACATCTATAATCCCTCCACTGTGGGAAGCTGAGGCAGGAGGATTTCAAGATTAAAACTAGCCTGGGAAACTCAGTGACTCAGCTAATACCCTGTGTCGAAAAAATAAGGGGACCTAGGGATTGTAGCTCAGTGCAATGGCTCTGGGTTCAATGGTTAAATCTACCATACTAGAAAACAAAAAGCAAAACCTTCACAATTCACAGTAATACCTTAATATTTAACACAAAAGGCTCATGACTTCAACAATATTTATCAACATAATATTTCAAGGAAACAAGAAGCTCATGAATACAATTCAGTTTTGTCTACCACAGTCCAGAAGACATTTTAGCCTCTTTCCTGTGTATTTTAGTACCTAGGAGCCAATCGGGAACTCTCACTGAGCAAGCGCTAAGGTGTAATAAGGCAGGCACCAAGTACCTCCACGATTAGGCCTAAACATGTTCGGGACACTGCTCCAGGAGTGAGCACACCTCAGTTTCCTGAGGGAGCACTGTGTCCTGGCTAGTAGGCAACATCAATTCTAAGGCTCTCTTCCTCCCAACAGCCACATCTCAGGTACTTTCAGCACCTCAGTACATGATGGCTGCTGATTCATGTGTTCACCTCCCCGGCCACAGTGTGCCAGAGTACACACGGCTTCCGGGCAATCTGGGGGGTGCTCCTTCTAGACAGACCTAACCAGTGGTCCCAGCCAGTATGGGTGGGCAATGGCCAACCTGCCAGGGACCTGACCACAGCCACTCAGGCGCCTGACTGCCCACCTGAGCTGGGACACCATTTCACCTTCCTCGGCCATCAAACAGGCCTACACACTAGCCCCAGGTCTCTGGACTCAGAGTAAGCTCCACCATGGGCTCGCCCAGGCCCCCAGCATGGAGATGGAAACTTCTACCTTTGTAACCATGGAGCCCAATTCCTTATGGTAAATCTCCCTCACTGGGTGCGATTGCACACACCTATAAGTCCAGCTATTAGGGAGGGTGAGTCGCAGTACCACACACACATCCCTTCCTCTCTCTCTCCACCTACACAGATTCTATTTCTCTGGGGGATCTTGACAAACACATACTAGATTATAGAGAACTGAAAGAAAAGCAGGAACAGATTAGTTCTCTCAGATACGGTAGACACAAAAAGGGTGGGAGGGAGAAGAATAACAATGTGAAGAAAACACATTCTACAATCCCCAAAGGAATAACTGCTTTAGACAGTGGCCTGTGGCAATGGAGCCACCATATGAAAGGTTACATGGGTTCCAATGGAATACCCAACAGGAAGCACGCAGCTCTGGAGTGGGGGGCCTGGCCAAGCCAGCCTGAGTGGCCCCATCACCCTGCCACCAGCATCCAGTGGTCTCAGTGCAGGTGCTGTCACTGTCCCAGAGACTGACTTACCACTCTGGACTACAGGCTATACAGAGCTGAACAGAATCCCAGCCCCACTCTTTTTTCTAAAACTTTGCTCCCTGATAGGAACATATTCCAATATTACAAGGGAACCCATAAGGAAATAAGGTTTTATAAAACGTCAGTATTTTCTACAGAAACTAAATCAAGGGCGCTGTGTCTCCACACGAGAGCTGTTAGACGCTCTCACAGGAGGCCACTTTGCTGGCCTGGTCCTGCGGTTGGGCACCTGCACCGCTGTGGCAGGAGAGCAACCCAAACACCACTGACACAGGTAGCTGTGGCTCCACACCGAGAGCCTGCACTGACAGTCCCAGCCAGTGACTTGGGGGACATAGCTGCAGCACAGATAGCTCCAGGGCTGTGAGGATGAATGGGTCTGGACAGAGCCCAAGCCCCAGGGCCTGTGATCCATGGCCGTGATCCGTGAACCCCTCACTTCTCTAAACCCCAGGGAGCTGTGAGGGAAGTTAAGTGCAGGAGTGCAAGGTAAGTGCTTAGTAAACGAAATGGCATCACATAAAGTATAAAGAACTTCTACATTTTCAAACAAAAGCGATAGTATTTGTCTTCTTCTAACTCCAGACATCTTGAGAACTGGCTGCCTTGTGTTCAATGTGTCACCAACCTGCAGCCGGGGGTTTGCCACATGAGGATGCTTGAAGGACACCAGCTCTGCACACGATGCTCCATCTCTGGTATCGATCGCTTCATACACCTGCAAGGTGACAAAAGGAAAACCTAAGCACACAGAAAGCACACTGCTCTCCCAGGACCTAACAACAGGTTGCATATAATCTCCCCTGCTCAGAAAGGGGCCAGGATAACTAGGACACAAGGTGCCCACACTCAAGCCAGGAACAGGAACCTCATTTCCAAATGGATCTCCCGAAGGCAAGAAAATGCGTAAAATAAGAAAGCGAGAAAAGCAAAATAGGTTAATGGCCTACTACTTGTTTATAATAAAGGTGATATTCTAGTTTTACTTGGTCACACAAATGATTTGAAAATTCACTTATACTGTGTAACTTATTAAAAAAAAAAATACTCAGCTTAAAAGCTGGGTGCTGTGTGGTATGCTCTGGTATTCCCAGCTACTGGGAGGCTGAGGCAGGAGCATGGCCTGAGCCCAGGAGTTCAAGACCAATCAGGGTAACATGTAACACCCTGAGACACCATCTTAAAATCAAACAAAAGAGCTTGAAAAACATATATATACAAAATTCAAAAGGCATCTACTTAACCTAAACATAAAAGGGAAAGGGCTATGGCTAAATGAATGCTATCATGTTCACATGACAAGACACCTGCTACAAATGAAACAGGCCCACATACAGTAAGACAGGAAAGTCCCCCAATGTGCTTACTATTACGTAGGGAGACAGTTCACTGCAGGGAAACTTCCTGATTTGGCTCTGGAGAAAAAAGCACGGGACCGTGCACATTATGTGGGCACAGGGAGCAGCAACACAAGACCACTTGCCAGGCCAACTGACCACAGGAGCTGCCCAGGGCAGGGTAAGAGGACTTACTTTCATACACTGCTGAGTGAATAGAAGCTAAGTGTATAGCCGTGTTTGTAATACAGTAATATAATCGAGCAACAGTAAGTTATATATGCAAATTTCAAGCTCACATGGATGTCTTCCCTGAGATGAGCCCCTGATATGCTGCCCACGCTGGTCTACAACTACCGGGCTCAAGTGATCTTCGCCCCTCATACTGCTAAGCAGCAGGGGCATAGGCAAAGGATGACACACCAGCCTGCCCACATGACCTTGATCAGGATATCGAAAAGGCTAGCGTCACAAAGGCTCTAAACACTGTTACCTACTAGTGACTAGTGACAAGACACAGAATCCCCTATACATATACCAAGATCTGATGCTTCTTGACACACCACGTGGATATGTAAGTCAGAAACACCTTTAAGACACAGAATCTACAGAAAGTTAGAGTTAGCAAGCCAGCACTCTGAGAGTGTCAGCTGCTTCCCTTGGGATGGCAGGCCTGGCCAGTGCCGTGCTTGCTAAGCTGCAGCCATCACAAGAGAGTGTCAAGCTGCACAGCAGACGTCACAGACTGGGGAGAGCCATGCTCAATGCCTGAAGTGCAGTTTCTTTTGAGTGCACCATAAAGCTAAGATACTGCCAGCTGGCAACCATGTGTGGTTAGACTGACAAGGGCTGCAAGAATACACAGCTACCACGCTAGCGGGGTAAGCTGGTGCAGCCAACACAGGACCTGGTGCTTCCCTAAGCCAGCACTCCTATGCCAAATGGTGTCTACATCCAGAGGAAAACACACCCCCACTCACGCACACCAGCCCGGCTGCATGGCCCCATCATACAGCAGCTCCAGCACACAGGAAGGGCTTGGAATCTCACTTCTCAGCAAAGCACAGGGGTGAGGGATTCACCTCACAGTAAATCCAGTATCTGTCCCCAGGGGACGGGTTGAGGAAACTGCAAAATGGCTGTTCAAAGGCATACCGTGCCAGCGTCTTACACGAGGAGAACGCGAGCTGACGGGACGATCCCCAGAATCTACAGTCCAGGGAGAGGAAAAAGAGTGGTGCTTCTTATATGATACTGAAGGGTATACCAGAAGAAATGTGCATTTGTGTCTGTGCTTACATCACATTCACATCTCAGAGAAGATGGAGAAAGGAAAAGGCAGGTCTACCCAAAACCATTCTCCAGGCAGCGAGAGATGGCAGCAAGTTTCTAAGCATGCGCTTCAGTATCATGTTCCTTAAGAATACAGCCAAGAGACGTGATGGAAGGTCAGCCATAACTGAACACAAACAGAAACATATGCACAGAAATAGATGCCGATGACAGCGCAGCCATACAGAAAGAGAAAATAAGGAACTTTTAAAGCCAGGGGTGCTGGTCAGCGCCTCTCATCCCAGCACTTGGGAGGCTGAGGTGGGCGGATTGCCACCAGTTCAAGGCCAGCCTGAGCTACGTAGTGAATTCACGACCAAACCACACAGCGAAACCCTGTCTCAAATAAATAAATAAATAAATTTAAAAAATAAACTTCTGAACACCATACTTTGTAAGATGTATTATAAAGATGTCAAAACAGCAAACAAACAAAAACACCTGAATTTTACTTGGAGGCAGTGGTGGTACTGGTGTCCTAATCCTGACGCTGCCCTGTGAGGTCACTGGCTGTTGATGCTGTGGGAACCTCTGTCCCAGGCAGGGGCAGGAGTTGAAACATAGAGGAAGAGACAAGGAAGGAGTCGTGACTCTGTGACGTACCACAGGCATCCAGGCTGGGCCACAGGCTTGTGCTCTCAGACAAACAGCAGATCCTGCTGGGCCAGCCCCGCACCCACTCAGTGCAAGGGCTCAGCCTGTGCAGGGACAGGCCGCCATCACCCTCCTCAACAGCACCGCAGTCACTGTGCGCTCAGTGTGCACTGGCCCAAGCATCACGACAACATAGCCACAGAACAGGTTTCTCTCTCTTCACAGCCTTGCCCAGGCCTAGGAATCCATCCGAAAGAAGGAGGCCACTGATGGCCCATGAGGGGTCAGGGTCCCCGCAAAGCCATCAAGCGGCACTTTCAGTATGCCTGCTGTCTTCACCAAGACGAAGGAGACCCAGACAGGGCAGCAATACTTCCTCTGCATAGGGCTGCCCGTGTCCTGGGCCCACCCAGGAAAAATGCCAGATCCAGCAAGAAACGAACCTCTGGAGTCCCCTGGCTAGGGTGGCAGCACCAGGAGAAATGAATGAGATGATGCAGAGCCCGGAGGTGACAGTCGGTAGCCTCCTTCCCTGGTCTGGGCATACAAACTGGACCTCTCCTCCCTCTCGTCACCTTTGCGAGAGCTAAGAGACTTACAATCCTGAAAGATTCTGGTCTGCAGGACTCAGAAGCTGGTTTAGTCATCCTAGCCCCACAAGCTCAAGCCTTCTGAAGTCAGCCTCCATGGCAACCTTGGCAGGCCTGGGTCCACAGAATCACCAATGGGAACCAGAGCTCCCTGGAAAAAGGGCAGACTCCAGGAATGAGGCAGGGAGAAAACTGGGAAAGCCTGAAAGGAATAGCATACCAGAAAGGGCTCAAAGAAGGACAGGGACTGTTTTAAGAGCCAGAGAAACCAACTGAAGAGGTGCTGGGACACTTGGAGCTTCAACACAAATAATGATGGCATATTAGTCAGCTTTGCCATCACTGGGACACAATAACTTACACTCCAACTTAGCAATTCATTTTGACTCAAGGTTTCAGTCCACAGTCAGCTGGCTCCAAGGCAGAAATGGCATGGTATTCAACATTAGTTTCTAATGCCTATCTTATCATCATCCCAACCTACACTCACTGCATAATCAAAGAATTCTCAGAGTGCTCCTCTGAGAACATGTGGCCAAGAGGAGAGATGCTTTGATGAAAGAGAAGGAAATAAAATTTAGGCTGACAGTCCATAAGAGTAACTACTGCTCACTAGGGTGAGGATTAAATGTTGGCATGTCTGCCCCTTTGGCCACACTTTCCTTTTCTGTTGGCCCCCACTCACCTAAGCCACAATGCAAAAGCAAGAAAGACAAAGCTATTTGTTTCATGGAACTAAGTTTTAGAGAGAAAAAAGAAAAAGAAGAAAAAGTCATGAAACTGCCAAGAAAATAAAACCACACAATTGAGATAAGGCTTCTCCTGAATGAGCCATCAAGGAAACCCTCTCTGTGGATGTGACATTTCAGCTGTGACCTAACAGCTGGAGCCGACACCACCAACTGCTCCCCCAACTAATCAAGTCCCTTTCCCTTTCCTTAAGCCAGCAAGGCCCAGCCCCAGGGACACAGGCTCCAAATGGCAATTCCTGCTTGCCCAGTTTCCCTTACAGATAAGAAATTTGGGTTGAGGAGAGGGTTTCTAGACACACTTTCTTCTCTCACAGAAAGCCAGAGAGTGTGAAGACAACATATTCCAAGAAAGATCTTGGAGTCAGTGCCGCCATACGCTAGCTGAGGGGAGACCACCAAGGCAGCTGGACGACAGAGCAGGGAAGTGGTAAGGTCCTTGATGACAAGACTAAGGCTAAACCAAGAGTCATAAACAGACAAAAACGAAACTGTACCAAGTCAGAAAGTTAGCTCCTTCAGTTTCATTCATTCAGCACTCACCAGCCGGCTTCCTGGTATACTTTAGTGAATGCAAGCTCTGAATCCAGAGACACCCGTGCTTGAGCGCGCTCCTGCCATTCACTGGCCTTGGTCAGAAACACTAAACACAGCTACGAAAAAGATACAAGGCATGCTACAGGCGAACACAGTATTACTACACGGGGGTTGCGACCAGTGGCTCGACTCCGACCTCAGTAGACACCACCAACCTCAGTAGAGGTTCCTGCTTGCTATCTCCAGCACTAGTCAATCTTGCTCTACACAAACGTCTGTCTGAAGCAAGTGTAACTGAGGCGAGCCCTTCCGGCGTTGGACTCAGTACACTCATCGCAGAAGGGAGCAAGGCCCGAGTTCGGAGGTTGACGCCAGGCTTTATGAGAGTCGCTTCTCCCAGCAGACCCGTCCCGCCCGTCTGACCCAACCGCAGACCTTGCCCTGCTTCCTGCGGACCCTCCCACAGCCGCCGGTTGGATCCTGCTTCGGGCCTACCCGCCTAAACCACTGATACCCTCCCTCCCGGGGGACCCTTCTGGCCTTGCTCGACTCCAAGATCCGCCGCCTAAGGGCCGACGCGGAAGCACAGAGCCGCCCCACCTGCTGCAGATACTGGTTGATGGTGATATGCGCCATAGCCGTTGCTAGCTGTCGCGGGGGGCGATGCGTCACTTCCGGCGCGTGTGCATACCCCGCCAAGCCTCCGGGGCGCCCCTGCCTGAGCAC